TTTGCACGGAAAAAGGTTATCGAATACGGATAGTCGTTGGACGTGAACTGCTCGGAGAGGCCAGGTCTCGCAACCATGGAGAAACATGGTGCTTACCGTTGAGCAATGCACACGCCCCTTCAGTGAAAGGAATATGTTGCGCCGGCGCCAGAGATTAGTAAACGCTAATCTAGCTTTGATTACGAGCTGAGAGGTCTCCTCGCTCACACCTCCGCCAGCCGTTATGCAACTCCCAAGTTAGACAAAGCTTTTGACTACTTCCAGAGTGTTATTTCCCAATAAAAGTGTAATAGTGACTTCCTTCCAATGTTTCAATAACACTGGGCACTTTCAAGGTGCAAAGGACATACCCATAACGAGTAACTTTGATTGCTAAACGGTTCAGCGACTCTTGAATCGTTGATGCATTTTCAGCGAGTAAGGCAATATCATCGACATACTTGAAGTCTACCACTTTGCCTCCAGGAAGAAACTCGACACCAGCGTTCATTGCGTTATGTAAAACGCTTTGTAGAACATTATCTATGGCAACGTTGAAGAGAAATGGAGAGATATGCCAACCCTGTCATACCCTACTGGTGACAAGAAATGAGGGTGAAAGTTCATCATAGGCCCTAACCTTCCCCGAGGTCTGGTGATCGATCGCTTTTAGGAGTGAAACATATTTCTCGGTTACTCTGTATTTCCGCAAACAGTTGCACAGTGCGGGGCGATCGATACAGTTGAAGGCCACTCTCATGTCCAAAAACACGACATTGGTTTGTAGTCTATATGTATGGCGATGTTCTAGTGGCTGATGTATGGTGAAGATTTAATCTGTACATCCACGGCGTGCACGAGACCCGGGCTGCTCCTCGCGGATTTGCTTCTCACGGAATGGGCATAACCTGCGTAGTAAACCGGACGCTAGCAGTTTCGGCGCTATTGGAATCATATTTATGCCTCTGTGGTTGGAACAGGCGTTACGACGGCCTTTTTTTAGATGGATGTGACAATCGATTATCCCTAAACGTAGGGTATACTTTCAGTTTCCCAGATCTTCGAGAACAGTCTCACAAGTTCAATCATGAGAGCTTCTCCGCCGTCTTTGAAGAGCGCAGGTGGCAGGCCGTCTGATACAGCCGCCTTGTGGCGTTTCAGGACTTGGAGTTCCTTTCGGATCTCCGCTCCTGTGGACGGCCCTGTGGATAGTGACCAGTATGCACTCTCAAGAGTACTGATTAGGGCATACCAGCTGGTTGAACTGCAATGTGAAGTGCCCTGCCCAGCGTTCCAGGAGTCAGTGAAGACTATCTATTAGCGTGCCACTTACTTCGTAGATTGTCTCACTAACGCACTGTCTTTTGGAGCCTGTAGCACAGGTGAGATGGCGTAGTTGCTGGATTTTGCCACACACAGCTACTGCTCCCATATAATTTGTACGTAGC